TTCCAAATCAAAGGAGTGACACGGACCTAAGGACAATGGAGAGAAGGGATGGGAAGGTGGGGGGAAGGGAACCAGGAGTCACAGGGAAGAAGCAAATGACTGTTGTTCCACAGAAGGGACGGCCATCATTGAGCTGAAACGGAGGGTACTATTGGTGAATGTAAAACTGATGATCTTGTCTGTAAAGCTTCACTCAATCCACAATAAAAAAATACAAAGTAAGAATACTCATATTACTCTTGGGAATTCAGAAAGTATTCCTTGCTTCAATCCATCTTGGTCACAGCATTTATTAAGACAAAATTCTGATTGTGCATACATGCTCTCTTAATGTCTCACACAATCAATGGTAACCATTAAATGTTTAAGGAATTCTTAAACATCTCCAAGAAGCCTCATTTGCCCAACTCCACGGATCCAATAAAGTAGAGCTTGAACCTTAGAAAGGGGGGCTACGTAACCCCTTTAAATGGTCTGTGTCATTTCAGGACTCAAAGGAAGATTGTGAGCATTGATAGAAGCTAGGAAGACACTAGAATATGAATAGTACTGTGGTCTGATTACAAGTGCTGCTTTAGGGAGAACATGGCTGTCTGTCTACTTCACATTAAAGCAAGAGACAGAAGGATGTGACAGGTGATATTTAAGGCTGTGATGTCGGGTTGTGATTAGGCAGTAGGTTAACCATGGTCTGTTATTACAGGCAATTGTTTCTCTCTCAGGGAAGGCAGCAAGGAAGAAGGAGGCCACAAACCAGGGTGCCATTAATAAGCCTTTAAGTCATTAGAATGCTGAGTCAGCCCAGGGCAGACTGATGATCGCAATGATTCATCAATTCTTACAGAGACACAAATGTAGTGTCCATTTAGGTCAAGAGAACAGTGTTAAAATCAAATTGTAACACTTGACAAATGTTGGATTGGGCAAACGTTGTCTTAACAACAACAAAGGAAAATCAAATAGGAAATCATTAAACTTATTCAAGTCTGGAAAATCCAGAGCTGATAATAAACAGAAGAAACTGCTTTTTCTTTATAAAAAGCACAATTATTTATGTTAAAAATTATGACACCAAAGTAAGCAAAAAGAGTTAACAGTAGTACTAGAAAGTAAATTTCTTAAAACTGTGCCACTGACAGGTAATCAGCAAACATCTTGGCTTATGTCTTTACAATTTGTCCATCTCTCTTTTTACACAATATGCACATACCTATATTATTTATAAAACAAGTGACATCATATTGTTCTTAAATAGAAACCGAATTGTATGTACTTGTAAACTCTGCTGTGAGCAACATCCTTGAAGTTAAATCTTTGTGCCTAATTTTGATTCTTTCCTTAGAATAAATGACCATAAGTGGAATTCTTGTATAAACGGTACATCAATGATTTATACAATACAATGATTTTATATTTAATTAGAGTTTCCTCTCACTCTACGGCTTCATTCATGATAGTTCTTTGCCCAAGACTGCTCAGAGCTCCTGAGGCTGGCTGCATTGCTCTAGAAGAGTTTAAGCTTGGTTAATAACCTTTCCTCATGAGTGTCTGAAATGATTCATACTTACTTTCCGAGGCTTCACTTTATCTTGTAAATCATACTGGCCGATTCCTTTATAGCTGATTCCAAGCCACCAAGGAATTCCTTGTTTGTCCTAGAAGATGGAAAAGCTTGAGAACCAAGGCCAAATTGTTAACTCTTCTAGAAGTGAGATAATGTTTATCAATGCCAACCCTTAACAAGTTTCAGCAAGTCAAAATAAAGTGGACTTGGTCAATAAAACACCACTTAAAAACTTAACTTGTTATTAGAATGCCTTCTTAGAGTTTCTTCAAATAAGATCTACAAGGCAAAAGCTCTACAAGACCAGTATTGTTAATAACATCAAAGGAATGGAACATTAATGTTTTAATTAAACATAGATGAGAAATACACAGTGTAAGTAATTCAACTAAGAATTAATTCAGAGTACAATGCCAGTTTTCCACTAAAAATAAAAACATTCTTTGTTCTCTTAATCATTAACTTGCTATGAAGAATAGGGAGTTTTATAAGAATTACAAAGATGAGAAGAGTGGTTTCAAAATCTGATGCTTACAGATAATGAATATGGGGATATTGGAAAACACTGCTGGAGAGATGTACAATCCAGTAACACACGATGTCTGAATAATCAGTTTGAACACATATGAGGGAGGAGGTAAGCAGTGTCCCTCCCCATCCCGATTAATTTATCCTTTAGTCTCAATGCAAAGGATGTACTCACATAAGGAAAGAAAAAATTAAGTTTAGACAGATACTCATATGTAAATAAATGAAAAATTAGTAGACGTTAATATTGAATTAGTTCATATATTTAGTACAGTATATCTTTATTGGAATCCTGTTATGGCACTGTGGGTTAATGCAATGGACTGCAAAGTTGGTTTCAACTGCAAGGCCAGTAGTTCAAGCTCACCTGTAGCTCTTCTAAAACTCTATGCAGGGTCGCTATGAGTCGGAACCGACTCGATGGCACTCAACAACAATAGAGATGTCATTATTATTATTGGATCCCTGGTGTGGTACTGTAGGATAAACACTGGACCAAAAAGTTGGTTTGAATTGCAAGGTTCTTGGTTCAAACTCACCATCTGCTCCTCAGAAACCCTACACAGGGTCGTTATGAGTCAGAACTGATTTGATGGCACTTAGCAACAAAAATAGCCTTATGATGCAGGTATTTATTATCCAATCCCCTACCATTTGGAATTGCATAGGGAATTAAAACATTGTCATAATATAAAAATATTCACTCAAGAATTGAACTTGATTCAAAATTATCCATCAAAATTATTCCCTGTTCAAACAAAATTCTCTAACACTGTCTCATCTGCTCATCATCTCTAAAAATCTGTGAATCTCTTCTTGCTCATAAACATACTATGCAATACAAAACAAACCGATTGAAAAGTACGTGCAAACCCTACACACGTTTCAACTTTTTATGAAGTTGTTGAAATAACACTGGAGGTGCATGAGTTTCATATGAAAGCACTGTCAATTGAAGGGCTGGAAATGTTTGACAGACGATTAATTGGAAAAGAGAAAAATCAGCTAGGATAGCAAAGGAATACGTGTGTGAAAAGAAGATGATCCAGATATTTTAGGATGAAGAGGTCTTGGGAAAACACAGGAGTCCAGGGAGCGTAGTGATTTAAGGATTGGGCTGCTAACCAAAAGGTCTGCAGTTCATACCCGGCAGCCACTCGGCAGGGAAACATGAGGCAGTCTGCTGCTGTCAAGATTTAAATCGCACAGGGCAGTTCAACTCCGTGTTGCAGAATTTACTAAGAGTCAGAATTTACCTAATGGCAATGCATTTTGTTTTGTTTTGGGGAATATATGAATAGATCAAGAATTCTGAAAAACAGTATGCCTGACAGTTTGCTAAAAACTATAAGGTAATAATCAGGTATTTACAAATTTTAAATCATTCTTGCTCTAACTGTTGTAATTTCTAGAGATTACTTATACATAAATATGTTGTTGTTGTTGTTGTAAGTGCTGTCAAAGTCAGTTCCAACCCACAATGACCCTGTATAGGATTTCTGAGCAGTGGCTGGTGGATTTGAACCCCCAACCTCTCGGTTAACAGTCCAGTGCTTATCCTACAGCACCACACGAGGATTCTATACATATGTATTTTGTTGCTGTTACGTGCTGTCAAGTCAATTCTAACTCATAGTGACCCTGTACAAGGTTTCTGGGAGTGGTTGGTGGGTTTGAACTGTTGACCTTGTGGTTTGAAGTCATAAAGTATCATGAGCATTGTGAAAATTTTGTTATGTACAATTACTTACCTTTACTGCGTAGTAATGGACTCCATATGTTGGTAGAGTTTCTATTATTCTCATATACCTATGGAAAATGAATATCTATCATACTCTTGGATTAAAATATGCAGAAGACCCTAATAAGAGACAATTTGTATCTAATTTCCTAATATCACCATCCCTAATAGTACACCTCTAGTAGTAATAGGATAAACCTCTCTGGGAAGTAATATATTTAATCCTATCCAGAGTTTACACAGTTGTTAACTTCACTTTCAAAATGTGACCTGTTCTTTTCTACACATTCTGAAACATGCTATAAAAGAGGAGACACACACTTTATTATATTAGAGTATATTGTATTATAAACTCAAATTGTGTGTCTTTTTAAATGGAAGCGCATAGTAATGGAAATAATGAGAACTTTTGTGTCATACTCAAGGTCAGCAGTTTGAAACTAACACTGCTCCGTGGGAGAAAGATGAGGTGTTCTGTTCCGTAAAGATTTACAGCCTTGGAAACCCTGTGCAGGGTCACTATAAGTCGAAAACGACTCCACAGCACATCACCACCAACCACCACCATATGTTTAAAAGAAAAACAAGTGTCCCATATATCAACTATGGTTGTGGTTATACAATTGTAAACACCTGCCAATGCTCCTTGCAATGTACACTTAAAAAAAGGGTGATTTTTCTTGTAGTAAGGAAGTAAACCTTGATATTATCCCTTGCTAATTTTTACACTAATAATAACTGCTATTCACTGAACCTTCATTAGGTACCATTCACAGTTACAATGACTACCTGTGATTTATTCACGTCTTCAGTATGATGACCCAGGGTGGGGCTGCTTCTGGTGGTAGTTCTGCACTTAGCCTTTTACAAATAGGAAACAAAGACCTGAAAAGGCTGAGCAACTTGTCCTAAGTCAAACTGTCAGGATTTGAACTCATGACCAGCAGGTGCAAGAATCTTAAACACTGTGATTCTACCAATGTGATTTTGAGATGTACCTGCAGGGTTACTTTTTCTTTTATGTCTTATATGCATATATACCTTTTATGGATTTTCTTTTATGTATTATATACCTACCAAGAAGAGCACACCAAAATATTATATGAATGCTTAGTTTACCAAATGAATACCTTTGTAGCCACCATCATGGTCAAGAACTAGGCTGTGATTGGCCATAAACAAAGCTCAGAAGCTAGGAAGGGAAAGCAAAGAACAAAAGGAAATGAGGGACTCAGGGAGGAAGTGGGAAGAGCGCTGTTACAGGGAGTGAACTGCAAGTGATGTTAAGAAAAAAATAAATGTGTATGAATTGTTGAATAGAAAATTAATTTGTTTGGTAAACATTTACCCAAACAACACACACACATAAACTATCCTCCCTAAAACTCACCCCCCAGTGTACCGCTCTCTAGGATCACCATGGACTTCTCTTTATTTTAGGAAAGGTAGATGTGGCGGATAGAGAGAGGGAAGGAGCTGGCTTCAGAACTTAAGCCTTTATTTTGGCTATTTTCATTTATTAAGTATTTATGGTATAACTTGAAGATGTTTGGAGGTAGATTAAATTGTGTAACACTGCCACCCTGTCCTCAAGGATCTTGGTTCTTGTTTAATGCAAGAGGACTATTTAATGGCACATTATGAAGATCCATTTCTCTGGACTTAGCAATCAATACATGGACCGTTTTTAAGTCACTGACCTACATGTGAATAAATATGAGGTTACGTAAATGCACCAATGTCAAGAACCAATTAAATTACACAGGCAGTATTCAAACAAAGTGAATCTGACTCTGCTTTCTAGAACCTTAACAACCGCATCATATGGTACAATCTCTTATTGGAAACCACAAAGCTAACCATCAAAGGATGTAAAAAGACTTTGCGTTTAACCAAGGATACTTTGTAATGTGCTTACTAACCTAGTCTAAAATCCTACAGGTAAACTTTAATTCCTTTTTTTTTTTCAGTTCAGGAAACAAACACAACATCTTAAAAATTGTCAAGGACTGCACTGAAGAAGAAGTACTAACATCTGATCTTTGCCTTTACAATGCCAGAAGCTGGGCTATAATGAAAATGAGACTATATAGCCAATGATTACAATTGCTATCAAAAGGTTGTATAGCTACAACAAGTTGAATTTGCAAAAATTATGTGATAGATATATTTATAACAACAACAAGATGAGTAGCTGTTGGGATTCATGAGATTTAGGGTTTATATTTTCATGGAACAACTTAGGTAGTTGGTCTAGCAATGTGTTTAGTGCTTTGGTTCTATCTCCTAATTTGTTACATAGTGCCTGGGGTCTTAAAAGCTTACAAGCAGCTGTACAAGACACTGGATCCACTCACTACTACTGGTCTCTATTTATCTGGAGTAAATTAGGAAGAAGGGGAGTCAGGAACAGGAAGAGGAAATGAGATGCTTAGCAAATAAATGGCCTCCAGGAACAACTGCTTCATCATGAGACCAGAAGAACTGAATGCAGCCTGGCCACCATACTAAAAATTTGATCAAAGATTTCATACAAGAGTCCTATTTAAAAGGGGAAAATGCAGAACAGATAATCAAGTTCTTATGAATTTACAGACTTTCTGGAGCTACAGAGGGTAGATGAACTCCTAAAAATATTTAAATCTTAGACCAAAAATAGTCCCTGAAATTATCTTCAAACTGAACAATAGATTAACTACTTTAAACCGGTCTGCCTTACACATTATGCCACTCTGAGAATTAGTACATGGAATTAAACTGACAGCAGCAATTCAAAAGGCTGAGATTGGAACTTGAAGGGGCAGTGAGCTTATGTTAGTGGGGGAGGAACAACACAGACAAAGAAGCTGAGAATAACCGTACAACTTTAAGACTCTAAGAACTCAATGTCACTGAATGGCACAGATGAAGACTGTTGTATTGATGTGTGTTTTGTCGTGTATGTTCTCAACAATGACAACAGAATAAATAAAATTTACAAAAATGAAAGACCAAACACTGAACCTGGACACATTTTCTTCCAAAGCATTCATTCAACATGCATAGATCAGTGATCGTGTTACCATCAACAGTATGATTGTCAAAATTTCCATCATCATTACCAGAGGTAATCAAGGCCACCTGAACAATGACACCCCTTTACCCCTCCCTGATATCTGGTACCTACTAATTAACTCTGCTCTCTATACATTTGTCTAGTCTAGGTATTTTATATAAGTGAGATATCAGATATCTGTTCTTTTACAATGTAAGTGAACTAGTGTTAATGAATAGATGGTCACTCTAGATGGAGTAAGTTCCAGGGGCACACTGGTTAAGTGATCACCTGCTAAACAAAGAATGGGTTGGCAGTAACTCGTTGGGAGAAAGCTGTGGGACTCTGCTTCTGTGAAGATTTACAACCTTGGAAACCCTGTGGGGCAGTTCTATTCTATTTCATAGGGCCGCTAGGAGTGGTCATCGGTGCCACAGCAATAGGTTTGGATTTTGGTTAGCTCTAAAAGTCATAAAATTCATAAATACATCACTATGATTTATTCCGGGAACATGGTGGCTCCATAGATTAAGCACCAGACTGTGAAACACAAGGTTGGCAGTTTGAAACCACCAGCTGTTCCTAGGAGGTGAATGGGGCTTTCTGCGCCAACAAAGATGTTGTTGTTGTTGTTGTTGAGTGCATTGGGTCGATTCCGACCCATAGCGACCCTGCACAGGGTTTCCGAGGCTGTAAATCTTTACGGGAGCAGAAAGCCTCATCTTTCTCCCACGGAGCGGCTGGTCGTTTCGAACCGCTGACCTTAAGGTTCGCAGCCTGATTCGTAACCATTACGCTACCAGAGCTCCTTAAAGCCTCAAAAATCTTATAGAGGGTTGTTATGAGCCGGAACTGACTGGATGGCACTTATCAAAACAACAATCATCTATTCTTAGTAACATAAAGGAGTGGATGATTGAGCACCCATACACCAACCAAAGCAGAATCACAAACTGGGGAAACAAACCTGGTCTCCAGACAGGTTTTGTTGGACTCACATTGTATTAAATTTTTTTTTTATAATTTCTTCCCAATTGAAATTTTAGATCTGAATTTCTACTCTTGCCTCCTTTTCCCGAAGCAAAATTTCTCCAGCTCAACACACAACCAAAACCCACTGCCAGTGACTCAGTTCTGACTCATAATAACACTGCAGGGCACAGAGTAAGACTGGGCCATGGGGCTTCCAAGACTAGGACTTTAAGAGATTCTTATTTTTCTCCTATAAAGGGGCGAGTGGGTTTAGACTGGCAACCTTGTGCTTAGCATCCCAACACTTTACCAGAACTCATAGTTCACCAGTGTCCACTACTCGTATTGGCTTTTCTCTGGCCTACCTTTCTAATTTTTGTGATCTGTCTGAGTTAAAATAAAAACTATGGCACTCCTCGAGTAAGATGGCAGAACAGGCAGATGCACGGAGCCCCTCTGCCACAAAGACGCGAGTGGCTCCAAGTGAGACAGATAGAGATGCTGAGACTGGAGCGCTGAGCTTCAGAGGAGAGGGCAGAGGTGGAGCGAGTGCCAACTAGAAGAGAAAGCTGAACAGGAGCAGTGAGAGAGAAGGGAAAAGAGCAGCTGTGTAAGCTGACCGGGAGGAGTGCGGTCCTCACGAGCTTTTTCAAGCAGCTGTCACTACTGTGAACGGCAGGCACAGGACACAACTGAAGGTTGGTGGCAAGGGGGTGCAGTTCTTCCTCCCTGGCCAACCCTGTGGCCAGTGGCACCCCTCTGCTGTGCCTGGGGTCAGGCATTGAGCATAGTGCCTCTGCTTTGGGAGGTGTGTAACCCTGCCCCGAACTGTGCTACACAGTGAACAGAAAACTGCATTCACACTCCGAGTTTCTAACACATCCACCAGGGGACAGGTGGTGAGTGTCTGAGAGCACCCCAACATACAATCATCAGTTAAATATAAATACAATCACCATGTCTCAGAGAAAATAGACAATTTTAGCTTACTTGAAGAGTCAAGGAGAGTAGATCAAACAAGTAACAAAAATACAGAGTCAGAAAATATGTTAACAGAACTGGTATCAGAACTACCTGATAAGTCATTTAAAAAGTGCTATTTAGGCATCTTCAATGGGTTGTCATGATTATTGTGAAAACTGCATGAGAAACCAAGGAAAAACATAGACAAAACTAAAAAAATTTCAGGAAACAAACTGACAAAATAAACAGTGGGAAAAAAGCACATTGTAGAAAAACAATTAGAATGTCAGAAGATTAATACTAAGACTTTGGGAATGGATAATATACTGAAAGGGCCTAAGAGTAGAAGTGAAGGAATGGAAGGCCAGTTACTGAGCTTGAAGAAACATCTCTCAATATTCATCTACTAGAGGAAGAGTCAGAAGAGAAAAAAAAAAAAAAAAAAACACCAAGAAAATCCAAAGAAAGCCTAAGGTTTATGTATGGGACACTATGAAGAGAAATAACTTATGTGTGATTGGAATATCAGAATAGGAAGAGACAAAAACAAAATAAAACAAAAAACAACCCCCAATTCGCAATAGAGAATACTGTCCAAGAGTCGGAAGAAAACTTCCCTAACACCATGACAGAAAAGAAGCACTCATTCAAGAAGTTGAAAGAACTCCAAACAGGATAGACCACAAAAGAAAAACACGAGGTCATATTATAACCAAACTTCTCAAAAACCGAGACAAGGGAAGACTCCTGAGAGCAGCTCAGGAAAAGCGAAAAGTCACCTACAAAAGAACACTAACAAGACTGTGATTTCCAGCAGAAGCCATGCAGGCAAAGAAAGCAATGGAATGACATACATAAAACTCTGAAAGGCCAAAAAATTACCAGCCAAGAATCATATAGCCTGGAAAATTGCATATCCAATATGATGGTGGAATTAGGTCATTTTCAGAAAAACAGAAGTGAAAAGAATTAGTACAAGCCACACAAGCCTTCCAAAAATCCTAAAGGAAGGTCATTGGACAGAGAACCAACAACAGCAGACAGCAACCTGAAACTAACATACATGATGATACTGTCACCCAGAACTCAACTCAGATATAGAAGCAATCGAAGTAAAACAGAACTGGAGAGGCTGCTGTACAACAACAACAGAAAGATACAGTAAAAAGACAGAATACTATAATTATACAACTTAAAAATGAAGAGGAAATCAAGGACGATTTCAACAACAAAAAAATTGAACTGTACCCCTAAAAACTAGGACAAGCCTTATTGCTAGCCCTAGACTAACACTTACCCCTAACCCTAACCCTAACCTTAACACTAACCCTAGCACTAACCCTAACCCTAGCCCTAACCCTAACCCTAGCCCTAACCCTAACACTAACCCTAGCCCTAACCCTAACCCTAACCATAACCCTAACACTAACCCTAGCCCTAACCTTAACCTTAACCCTAACCATAACCTTTACACTAAACCAAGTCCTAGGTCTAGCCTAGATCTAACTATAGTCCTAATTCTAGCCCTTATTCTCACCCCCCAATAAACTATGTACATAAAAACTATATTGCAAAAATCATTTCAAATGTCTTCTTCCAACAGAAAACATTAAAAAGAGATCTTAGCAAAAGAAAAGAAAGATACTTACTGAACCACAGCTTGGCCACGAGTCAGACCTTTGATTTTCAAATAATGTTCAATGACTCTGTCCTCGCTGTAAAACAAGAGCATGAAACGCATATTAACACATGAGATACAGACTCACCTAAGATTCTCAGGTGGCTGTTGGATACTTAGCAATCATGGTGTGATGCTATAAGATAAGCACTGCAATGCAAGGATGGTTTGAACTGCAAAGTTGGCATTTCGAACTCCAGAGCAGCTCCTCGGAAATCCTATATGGGGTCCCTACGAGTCAGAACCCACTTGACAACACTTAACAATACATTGGGCACTTGAGAGATTTCTCAAGACTTCACCAGTTTGTTTGGGAGACTGTCTGGTTGATCTTTTCTTCTATAGGACACAGGTTCCTGAAAGTTAGACATTTAACTATCTCATCATGCCTTTTACCATATACCTTAAAAAAACAAAAACTTAGCTTCTTAGAAAAAGAAGCACAACATCAGTTCCTCAAATGGAAGACTAGTATCCTTTGTTATAGCCAGTGATAAATGATAAAAACAAAATAAGATTATTAAAGGTTAGAGAACATGGCTGGGGAAGTTTTGAACACAAGATCTACCTTTTCTTTGTTTAACAAAGACAGATGATCAAGTGAGAAGTTTCTCCTTGAATTATGCAGAAAGATTTTTAAAAGAATTAAAATGGCAATCTAAAAGCGGTGATTGGTTTGTCACCATTTAGCAGCACCCAGTTTTAGGAGAAGAACCCTTTCAATTGTTCCAGGATAAAACTTGCTCACTAAAAAGAAGAGAAGTGGGCTGAAGTCTGATAACCCTTGAATTCATTCAGTTATCTAATCCTCCTTTCAGACAAGATAACTATTTAGTCATATCTCAACTATGACCTAGAAGTATAAATATTTTTATCTCTGTTATCTGGTTTTTATCTGTAAGGTTTTACCAAGAGCTTGTCTAAAGTAAGACCAGTAATCAGTCTTAATAAGGCCTGTGTTTTTCTCTTAAGAAACTGTCACTTAATTGAAAAAGATTCCAAAATTAGGACGCAAATTATTCATTACTCATTTTCACTACATGCTTATAAAACACAGTTCAACTTTTATATTAAAGCAAGAAAGGTTGAATACTTACTTTGTACCTGTTTTGTTTTCTGGAATCCTGGTACAACACTGTAGGATAAGTACTGGGTTGCTAACCACAAGGTCAGTGATTCAAACCTACCAGCTACTCCTAGAAAACCCTATACAAGATTGCTGATTCGGAGCAGACTCCATGGCACTTAACAACAACTACCTGTTTTTCGGTGGAAAAGAAATCTATCTTCATGTTTCAGGCACTTAGAGCAAGGAAAATACACTTAGAAAGATTATAAGTAATTCAAAGGGGAAAAGTAATTTTATAGGAAAAAAGTGGTGTGGAAAAGAAAAGCTAATCAGACCTTAAAAACCCTTGAAAGCCAGCTCACAACCACTCTCTGGGGCCTAGATATTAAATTGAGTCTCTTTCCAGGGCAAAAACTCTCCTATTCACCCACTACGTCCTATGGACCTTCATCTGGCTTGCATTTCTCATTTTTGTTACCTACCGCAAGCTAACAGACAGATATCTGAGTTGGTGACATGAATGCATGGCATGGTCCAAGATATCTTTCAACTTTCTGGTAAAATAACTTCCAACCAGATGAGGACTGTACACAAAAAATGTACGTAGTAAAAATCATTCAAAAGCCTTCTTAAAGTAGAAAACATTAAAATTATAACTGCAAAGAAAGACTGTGAGACATGTATAGTAACATGTATAGCAGACTGTGAGACATGCATAGTAACATGTGAGACATGTATATCATGTATAGTAACATGTACAGTAGACTGTGAGACACGAGACATGTATAGTCACATGTGAGATGTTTAAAGTAACATGTACAGTAGACTGTGAAACATGTAGCATGTATAGTAATGTGTGAGATGTGAGACACACATAACATGTATAGTAACATGTACAGTAGATTTGAGACATATGAGACATGTACAGTAACCTGTGAGATGTGTATAGTAGACTGTGAAACATGCAACATGTATAGTAACATGAGACATGTGAAACATGTTTAGCAACATGCGAGATGTATATAGTAACATGTACAGTACACTACAAAACATGTAACACATATAGTAACACGTGGGACGTGTGAGACATGTATAACATGTATAGTAACATGTACAGTAGATGGTGAGCCGTGTGAAATATGTATAGTAACATGTATAGTAACATGTAAGGCATGAATTGTAACCTCCATGAGATTTGACAAGATCCTCTTGTGGACAGATCCAGGTCTATCTATGGTTGTTTTTACACATTTGATGGGAATTTTTTTTTGTGTGTGTGTGTGCACTTTTAAGTTTCTAAAGAGCATACAGTTGTTAATGGAGGTTATGAACAGGGTAACTGGATAGCACACTCCTGTTATCCTGACTTGACTTACCAGTAAGCAAGGGATGGGTGCTCCTGAAGAGTTTTGGTTGGAAAGACTGGTAGTGTCTTTAAATCTTTCCTGGCATTTTCATCACTAAAAAGAAAAGTAACGCAGTAATGTCAGTTACTGGTACCTAAAAAGATTTCAAGTCAATTGCCAACTGAATGAAATCCATAAAGCATGCTTCCAACAGTGGAAGGGTCTGTCAAAACTTTGCAGTCAACACACATAAGAATACAGATTCTTAACTAGAGACAGTCTCCAAATTTGATAAATGAAGCCTAGAGATATTTTGAATCTTTAAAAAGACCAACAACAATGCAGTATTAAATTTCCATAATCCCATTTTCCTTATTCTACTCATAAACTCACAGCTATTTTCACTGAACATTATTTTGTACACCCATTTTAGTATACAACTCTGAATATAATTGTACATACTTCAAAGGCTGTATTACTCAGCATTCTTCACGTTTCATTATACACTTTCTCCATGATCCGATAGCACCCTTAAAATTATCTTTTTTGTTGTTGTTACTAAGTGCCATCAAGTTGGGTCTGACTCATAGTGACCCTGTATAGGGTTTCGGAGACGCATCTTGTAAGATTGGACTGCTGACCTTGCAGTTCAGACTTTGCAGCCCAGCGCATTAACCCACAGTGCCACACCAGTACTTCATAATCAACTTTAAAGGCTACATGATTCTACCATGTTAGAATATCAGTAATCATAAAACCATTCACATAATGTTACCATTTTTCAAAACAGATATGATTGAAATAAAAGTAATTTCCTATTACTCTTTTCTGTTATTTCCTTATCATTCCCTTAAAAAAAATAGACCAAGTCTACCATATATGAAAATCACTTACACAGAAGATAACTTGGGAACATATCTACAATGAAACCCAAGTATCATTGAAATCACACCATGTAAAAGAAAATGTATGTCTAAATGCTTTTAAGATGACACATTTCTAGTTATACAAAGAGAAGGGTGTGGCCTTTGTGGAACGTAACAGAAAGGACACCAGTAGTAATCACCAGTCAAAGCTGGTCTTAGTAATTAAAATTACTTTCTAGAGTCTATAAGATCCTAGAAGAAGTACATGTAAAAGCTATTCAAAATCCCAATGAATGTCACTGAATTGTACATGTAAAAAATGCTGAAACAGTGGAAGCTTTGCTTGCATATATGAGGGGACTTCAAAAAGTTCATGAATAAATGAAATTAAAAAACAACTAAAATTTCCCACAAACTTTATGAAGCCCCCTCATACATTGATCACACACAAAGAAATCCAGATCAAATCAGTGCTCATTAAACAGCACATTGCTAATAAAATAAAAAAAAAATGAAAACAATAGAGAATAAATAAAATGAGAAGTTTGTTCGTCAAAAAGAGAAATAATAGACTGACAAAACAGAAAAGCTGCAAATAAACAAAACAAGAAACAAAAAGGGGGAGTTGCAATGAATCCAGTAGAAATAAAGAGAAATATGATACAAAATTATGAGCTGGATGGAAACAAATGGGATAAACTAGGTGAAATGCACACGTTCTTAGAAACACAAAATATACCCAAATTGACTCAACAGGAAAGTCTCAGCAGACCCAAAACAAGTGAAATTAAATCACTCATGGAAAACCTCCCCCCTCAAAAAAGTTCTGGCTTTACTAAGGAATTCACTAGGGGATTTAAAGTCTTCCAAAAGATAGAGATGCAAGCAGAACCTTGATTGATGAGCTAGACAAAGGCACTACATACCCAAAAGAAAACGACAGACCATTATCTTTTTATGAATATAGATGTAATCTTCAACAAAATGCTAGTGAACAGAGTTCAACAGCATATTAAAAGAGTCATAAACCATGGCCAAGTGGGATTTACTCCAGGAAGACAGGGATAGGTCAATATCAGATGATCTATTTAATACAACACGTCAGTAGAACAAAGGAAAAGAATCACATCATTATTTTTATGGATGCAGAAAAACTTTTGACAAAGTCTAGCACCCTTTTTTGGGTGAACCCTAAAGATTGAAATAGAAAGGTAATTCTTCAATATGATTCATGGCAGCTATGAAAAGTCAACAGCCAACATTATAATAATGGGGAATAGACTGAACACTTTCCTCTTGAAACAGAAGATGAGGATGTGTACTCACACCACTTTTATTCAACATTGAATCAGCAGTCCTAGCCAGAACAATTAAACAAGAAAAATAAAACCTATCCAGACTGAAAAAGAAGTAAAATTATCTCTATTAGCAGATTTTGGTCAAGTGATTTTTGACAAAGGCTACATCCATTATTGGGCAAAGACTAGTATTACATTCCTACTAGGATGGCTAAGACGATAAAATAGAAAATAACAAAAGTTGGCAAGGATATAGGGTACTTGGTACCCTTATCCATTAATGGGGTTGTTGTTGTTGTTATGTGCTGTGGAGTCGGTTCTGACTCATAGCGACCTGTGCAGGGTTTCCGAGGCTGTAAATCTTTATGGGAGCAGAAAACCTCATTTTTCTCACGCGGAATAGCTGGTAGTTTCGAACTGCTGACTTTACGATTCGCAGCCCGTTTTGTAACCACTACTCTACCAGAGCAAAATAGTACAGCCAGTGAAAAATTCAAAAACTAAAGTTAGAATCATATCCAGTAATTCCACTGCTATGTATATACCCAAATGACTTGAAAATGAGACTCAAAAAGAGACTTGTCCATCAACAGTCATTATAGCACTATTTACAACAGTCAGAAGATGGACACAATCTCAATGCACGTCAATGTGCTGCATACATACAATGGAATCCAACTCATCCATTGTATAACATTAAGTGTTGGTACATTCTACAGCAAAGATGGAGCTTGAAATAAGTCTATCATAAAGCACAAATAGGATATGACCTCACTTACATATATAAAAAAACAAGAAAAGGGAAATATATAGAGACCAAAGTTTATTAATGGTTACCAGGGGTGGGAGGTAGGGGTTAAGAGTGATGGAAAAATTACATTGATTACAGGTAAGTTTGTAAAGATAATTATTGTAATTGCTGTCGATAAGTTGTACAGCTGTAAGTTGTACAGCTGTTAATAGTTGACTTGACAAAAGTTGTGAAAGATATATTTACAATAATGACTAAAAAAAAAAAAAAGTGCCTGCTGAGGCTGATCGTGCATAATCAAATCCTTTCTAGGATTTAGTTCTGAGATTTGGAGGTTCAGGGTACTGGTTTTATGGGAAATCCTAGTTACTTTGCCGAATAAAATGTTTAAAGCTTCTGTTTTACCTTTAGTCTCAGCAGCTTGCAAGCAGCTATTCAAGGCACAGCAGCTGTTGTCTGTTCAACTAGAGCCACAGAGGAAGAAGTCACAAATGGGAATAGGATATAGAATGTATGGCTAACTGTCTCCAGGAATGACTGCCTGCTTTGCTATGAAACCTGAAGAACTGGATGGTGTGTGACCACCATTCCTGAACACTTTGATCCAAGACTCCATAGAAGCACGCCGATCAAATGAAGGAAGATGCAGAATAGGATTTCAAATTCTCATGGACTCTAGATTGTCAGGAATCCTAAAGGGTATGAACTGCTGAGACTATAGCCCTGAGACAATCTTTAAACGCAAAAATATTCCCTGAAGTCTTCTTAAAACTAAACAACAGCTTGGCTTAACTGTAAAAAAGGTCTGGCTTGACAGTGTGAGGAGACCTGAGGACTCCTGGACCGAGAGTCAGTGGCGTGGCCACGGAGGACTCAAGTGGAGAGTGGAGCTGCCGGCTGATGGGAAGAGAGGGCATGTGCACAAGATCACCCACACTTACAGATGACACCCACGTGACCAGGACCGGATGACTAGATGATCAGAGCTCAACCAGGAGAAAAAAGATGAGAAAAAAAAAAAAAGAAAAGAAAAGATTGAGCTGATACAGTCTGATGAACTTGACCTATACCTACGAATGCAGTGACTCAAAAGAAGGAACAAATCCTTACAGCAAGAAACATTCCCACCCCCTCCACACACAGAGCAGACAGAGATGGGCAACTTGGACATTGGATACTCAAATGGGGAGGGGGGGTGGACTACAAAGGCAAGAAATGACTGGCTTACAAGCTTTCAAGAGGGAACCTAGAGCCAGGGGGCATGGAGGAAGGCAGAATCACCAGTGAGTACTATCCAATCTGTCTAGGTGGAGCTGATGAAATGAAATACAGATGGGTTACTCGCGATACTGCAGTGAATAATGGTTATCAGGACTGATTGTGAGGGTTGGAAATGCAGGGGTAGATGTTTTATAGCAAGGAAGGGAGTGATTATTTCTCCAGTCTAGGAGCGGAGGTTTCTGGGACCACCAATGGAGAAGAGCCGAGAGCGGGACCCTACCCAGAATAGCCTGAGATGGAGACAGAGATGGAGAGGGAGAGGGACTGTGGGCCAAAGACTAGGGGATGGGGGTGGGAATAGAAGTGTAGAGGACGGGTTTCTAGGATATCCCCTTTGGTCGGAAGATGATGCATGGAGGGGATTGTAACCATGGCAATGAGATGATCTAGGATGGAATGAATGTAAAACTAAAGTTCTCTCATGTAAACTATCATATAATTCACAATAAAACATTTAAAAGAAAAAAAAAAAAGGTCTGCCTTGAGCATCTTGTTCTTTTATAAGCTATCTACATGTTTACAAACAATCTAATTGACACCAGCAACTAGAATAATTAAATAGAAACCTTGAGAACAGTGTGTTTATATCAATGAGGGAGAAACAATTCAAAAAAGGATGCTCAGAATGATTGCACAGCTTGAAGGATGAAATCAATATCACAAAATTGTACAAGAAAAACTACTGAATTGCTGTATGTTTTACAGTGCATATTTTGAATACACAAAAGTCACTAACAAGAAAAAAAAAAAAAAAAAAAAAGAAGACTGAATGTACATTAACAAAAAAAAAAAAAAAAAAAGACTGAACACTGAATCTAAGGCACATATACTTCCAAAACATTCCATCTAAATGTATAGCTCACAAGGGGACGTATTACCACCAAGACGACTTAGAGCCAAGAGAGGAGAGGGTCTTTA